GTAGGGTACAGCTAGATTGGAATGGGAGATATTAGGGCTAGGAGAGAACAAGAAAGGGGTCACAGAAGGGTAAATACTGTTCTCACTTGCCCTGCCTTTTCCTGTAAAAGGCCCCAAGTACTCATCCTGACAGGATAACACCCAATTCCCTGATCCATCCCCCTCGCCAATCCTGGTGTCCCCGCTTTGAACTCTGAAAATACGACCAACCTGCCAGGGAGTGGAAGTGGGAGCATTGCTACCTGCAGCCCACCAGTTATTTTGAGCACCCCCCTCTTACACCTTGCATCAGTTCTTGGAGAGCAGCTGTGAGAATGGGGAGGAGAATCAGACCGTGGGCCTATTGTGATTTTAGTTAGTATCTTTCTGGAGGCACTGAGATAGTTCAGTGACAGGTGTCATGAGAAGAAGCTGGGCTTCAGTTCTGCACCTGCATCTGAGTAAGCCCATTGAAATCAGTGGGGCCAATCAGGTGCTTAAAGTTAAGCACGTATGTAAGCATTTGCAGGATTGGGGGCTTGCACAGATACCCAGCAGGAGACAGATGGTGGAATTGGAAGGCTTTTCACCCCAGCTTTGGAGGCTGCAGAATCTTTTTGTTGCATTCGTTGGGATCGTCGTCACTTGTTTTGCTCCAGCCAAAAAATCTTTTCTGATTACTGCTGTGTCCTCCATCCAGTTGACAGGGAGGTTGATGATGGAGGTGACAGTGAAGGATGGGAGTGCGTTTTATTGAATAATTCTGCACTAGGCTTGTGGAAGCTGACAGACGCCTTTAATTCTGTGTGCCTTTAGGCTAGATACATAAAGAACATCTCTGAGATTGAGTTCGACGAGTTCTTCTGGAAATGTACTGAATACCTACAGCACTACCCCACGGGTGAAAGTAACAGTGAGTGCCTCTTCCTTCTACTGTGTTGACCCCAGGGAGACGGCAGGCTGAGATTCCTTTGTTTTCCGTCAGTGTAAATGTGAGAGGGTGAATGGACTGCACATGGGGGCCCCTGCCCTGTACCCCTTTGAGTTCCTGTGTCCTCCTCCATTCCCTGCCACCAAAATCCCGAGGCAGCCAGCTGCATTTCAACTCCTTCTCCCCCCTGCTGGCTTCAACCTGTCTGGACACCAGCAAGGGCTACGCTGACTGTGGAGGAGAAGAGACCCTCTCCCTACTTCCTGTGTCAGCTCTATGGAGACCCCTGGCTGGCAAGAAGAGATACTATAGGGAACCCTGCTCAGTGCCTACAGTCTTTCTGGGTGAGCAAGCTTTCAGTAGTGCTGATATAAGCACACAAGGAATTTTTTAATAGAAAATCCCAACTGTGCATAGGCACCGACTCCGCGGGTGCTCTGAGGCTGGAGCACCCACGGGAAAAAAATGGTGGGTGCTGAGCACCCACTGGCAGTCCCCCTACCAGAACCTCCCCCTCCCCCCAGTCCCTTCTGCCCACCGGTGGGCCCCACCGATCAGCGCCTCCCCCTCCCTCCCAGCGCCTACCACGGATCAGCTGTTTCGCTGTGTCAGGAGGCACTGGGGGAGAGGGAGGAGGAGAAAGAGTGCAGTGTGCTTGGGGGAGGGATGGAACTGGGCAGAGAAGGGGTGGGAAGGGGCAGGGAAGAGGTGGGGTGGGGTGGAGCAGGGGTGGGAAGAAGCAGGACAGAGCTGGGGCCTTGGGGGAAAGGGTGGAGTGGGGGCGGGGCCTGCAGGGAGCCGGGGGGAACTCCCCCCGGCAGATTAGAAACTCGGTGCCTATGGAACTGTGATTTGCATTTTCAAGATTGTAAGTGAAATAGCAGAAGGAAGACTTGTGGTTAAACCGCAAGTTTAGACAAGAATCTCCAACCCCATCCAGGCACTGTCCAGTCCCTACTGGTAAAAGTCTGCCCTTGAGCAAAGCCAGGAATAAAACCCTACGGTTTAACCACAAGTCTTCCTTCTGCTATTGAAAGCATTGAATTTCCTCCCCTAGGTATCCTCAGAGCAACCTCCACATTGTCTCCTAATGATGAGCTGGAGAAGTCCCTCCGGAAGTATGTGATGAGAAACATTCTGGAGAAGGTACTGCAGTAACTTCACAGAATTTTATTTTTTGGCTTGACGGTCTGTGCTTTACACAGCTAGAATTTTTCTGAGGTTCTCCTGATACTACAGAGGAAAATACAAGAAACCCTGCAGTGGGTAGTTGTGGATCAACTTGTCCACATGGAAAGTTTTTTCCTTCCCCCTCCCTTGGTTTATGACCTGAGGCACGAGGGATTAGATCCCTTCAAAAACTATTGGGTTTTATTTAAAAAAATCCTTAG